CTTATCTGCTGATGGGCACTTAGGCTGCCAAATCTTAGCTATTGTAAATTGTGCTGCTATGAACATAGGGGTGCATATATCCTTTCTGATTGGTGTTTCTGGTTTCTTGGGATATATTCCTAGAAGTGGGATTACTGGGTCAAATGGGAGCTCCATTTTAACTTTTAGAAGAAACTCCATACTGTTTTCCACAGTGGCTGCACCAGTCTGCATTCCCACCAGCAGTGCACGAGGTTTCCTTTTTCTCCACATCCTCTCCAGCACTTGTCGTTTGTTGACTTGTTGATAATAGCCATTCTGACAGGTGTGAGATGGTACCTCATTGTTGTTTTGATTTGCATCTCTCCAATGATTAGTGACTTTGAGCATGTTTTCTGATGAAATCTATTTCAATCACTAGTCTAGTTAACCAGTTATTAAAAACCAAAAGTGATCATTGCCCCTGTGCCCAGAAAAATGAAGTAGAGCTTAGGGCTGGATGAATCACACCTGTGGGCATAACAAGCTATACATCATGCAGAAATGATTTTGCTTTTTATATGAGAGAGAATGAGTATGCAAACATAGAAAAATATTTTTGTAAACTGGAGGTGGCTATTTAGGAAGAATAAAGGTTTACTAAAATCACAAGGAAATGCTAGGTTCAAGTTAAAAGGTTAGGAAGTGAACAAGGCAACAGCTGTTACTCTGGGTTGGCATTGTCAATAAAGAGCATCAGAACAGACGTGTAAATGTGTATTTTGTAGATTCATGTGGACGTACTTTGTGTGTATCTGTGTGTGTGTGTCTGAAAGAAAGAAAACAGGCTCCTCTTAGGTCATGACAAACATGAAAATGTTTGACAGGTCAGAACTCAGTTGTCTTGCTCAGAACATACGCTTTCCCATTTTCCCCATCATTCTTCAAAGGTATGTCTTACAAGAACTTGTCCTTGGTCAAGCAGACAGCTCATCCCCAAATAGCTAATCTTTAGATAGCTGTGATCTTGAGGTAGTCAAGCAAACATTCCACAACCAAGCCTTTTGTGATATCTTTAAATGTGAATATATTTTAGGACTTTTTCTTGACAAAGATGTTTGCTAAAATTTAGGCTCTTCAGGCGTAAAAGGACACAACCATATTTCTTGATCACCCACCAGAAAGCAATAGAAGCTCTGGCAGCAAGTCTTTGGCTGGAATCAGACTGGCTACATCATAGCCTCTGTATCCAGGGGCTGTGGATATCATTCAGTCTGGCCTTACTAGCTTGTTAAGCTGAGAAATGTCTAATTCATCTCTAATACAGAAATTGATTCTTAACCCCAGTTACTTGAACAGATATTCAGTTGCAACCATTAGGACCAATATAGGACAATATTGCCCAAATTTGTTTGATGATGAAAATCACTTGGGGTCAGAGCCAGTTTCGCGAACTTGTAACCAGTGCACCTTGCACAGCGCCCTGCATTCGAGGGGTCCTACATTTGGAGTTCAATGCTTTGCATTTGTGTTTTATAATTCAAGTCCAATGAGACAATGAGGCATACATGGGCTAGCAGTGACACGCGAACTCATTTTTTTGGTTGATTTTTCTTTGTTAAATGGCATTTAAATATATAAAATAAATATAAAAAATATAAGTCTTTGTTTTACTATGGTTGCAAATATCAAAAAAATTCTATATGTGACACGGCACCAGAGTTAAGTTATGGTTTTTCAAAATGCTGACACGCCGAGCTCAAAAGGTTCGCCATCACTGGGCTAGGGACTTGGATACTTGAATCATTGGTCTCACTTCTCAGTAACACAAGGGGATGGATTCTTGACTTCCCACTTCCCTGTTCCCTGGTGCCTTGGCCAACCCTGACTCTCCTTTCTCACACTTGCCCAATGACTACTGCCACCCTCAACCCATAGCACATCTCCTCATCCCCAATAGCTACCACTGTCGTCCTCCTCCTGCACAGTCACAAGAAAGGTTAAGTATGGGTGCACATACCCTATGCCATCTCGGGAGGGGGCATGGTCACATGGCATCTAGGGAGCAAAAATGTCACAGAACATTTGGAAGATGAATGGTGGGAGTGAGCCTCTTGCCCACCTCTATTCCAGGTACTGAGCACATTCTGGCATATAAGTTGCAACCCCTTGGGAATCCCCCCTTTGCGGTTGATTGCTGCAGTGGGCCAGTGGGAAGGAAAGATTTACTTACTCTTACCACTGCTGGGGCACAGAACATCAGTCTAGTGGGAGGAGGGTATGGAGCATGTGTGCTTGCATGCTAAATTTCAAGATGCAGCCCCTGGGCACCTGTGAGTATCTGCCCTCCCTGTATATACCCCTCATGCCTAAGGTAGCATGACATTAAATAGTAAATTAAAAACACCCTGATAGGTTGCCAGAAACCACCAAAGAAAAGGAAAAATTTTGTATTTTAATGTCTTCAATACCATTTTCCCTGACTTTTGAACGGGGAGGGGGGTCCCACATTTTCATTTTGCACTGAGCCCCACAAATTATGTAGCTATATCTGCCCAGAGTGAGCACTTTTCTTATTGTTGACAGTATTATAGATTTCTCCTATTTTCTCCCTTTTTGTCCCTTCCACCCAACCCCCACCCCACCCCAAGTCTTCCCCATACTATTGTCTGTGTTCACAGGTTATTCATATCAGAGTGAGCAGTTTTAAAACATAGTTCACCAACCATTGGGAATTCTGAAACAGAATTTTTCAAATTTAATTATGCATAAGGATATTCCAGAGATCTTCATTTTTCTCTCGTCCCATCCCCTAAATATTCTTATTAAGCCTGGGTGGGCCTCCAAATCTGCATTTTACAAGCATCCTAGATGATTCTACTTCAATTGGTCCACCAACCACACTTGGAGAAATACTGGATGCTTAGAAGCATAGATTCTGAAGCCAGGCAGACTAGGGTTTGCATCTTAGCTTCACCACTAACCTTAGGGTAATTAACATGCATATCTAAACCTCAGTTAGCTCATTATAAATGGAAATATTAATATCACCCTCAATGTGTTGCATTAAATGTACATAAAACACTTAGCACAATGATTAGTCCATAGTAAGCAATCAATAAATGTTCTAAAATACTTAAGAAGACTGTTAAGTCTAGGTCAGTGGTTGGCAAACTCATTAGTCAACAGAGCCAAATATCAACAGTACAACGACTGAAATTTCTTTTGAGAGCCAAATTTTTTAAACTTAAACTATATAGGTAGGTACATTGTTATTAACTTAATTAGGGTACTCCTAAGGCTTAGGAAGAGCCACACTCAAGGGGCCAAGGAGCCGCATGTGGCTTGCGAGCCACAGTTTGCCGACCACGGGTCTAGGTGGTCGGTACACTGGGGTTTGTTATATTATGTGAGTTCTCCTATATTTTTACAACTTTTCAAAATGAAAAGCAATAGCTAGAATGAGAGGGAAAGCTAGAGTATGGAAAGGGGGATCAGAAGCTTGCAATGAGTCAGCTCCATAGGTCTCCAGGTAGGAGGCTGGTGCTTCAGTGTCAAGGATTTAGCAGATGTTCAGTAAATTGAATTCAGGACAAAAAGAATCTTCACTAGAATATGTCCCAAGGACCTTCTCAAACTCATACTGAAAGGAACTAACCATTTCCTTCCCCTAGTTTATGAATGGGCTGACACATGGGGCTATGTGTATTTTATTTAGTAAAAGGGCATCTATTCACAAGAGCTAGTCCAGCGGTTCTCAACCTGTGGGTCGCGACCCCTTTGGGGGTCGAAAGACCCTTTCACAGGGGTCGCCTAAGACCATCGGAAAACACATATATAATTACATATTGTTTTGTGATTAATCACTATGCTTTAATTATGTTCAATTTGTAACAATGAAATTGGGGGTCACCACAACATGAGGAACTGTATTAAAGGGTCGCGGCATTAGGAAGGTTGAGAACCACTGAGCTAGTCAGTGCCCAGAAAGGTTTTACCAAATGTTAAGTGTGCCCTCTAGCGTTCACCTTCTCGGCTTTCTTCCTAAAGTGGTTGATCAGGCTCTTGCTTACATTGGAAGTGAAATTCTCCAAGTTGATCTAGTCATTGAGGTGGTGAAAATATTCATTGTCCACTCTGATTATGCAATGAATGTGCAGATGTAAGACTGGGGTGGCCTCTTATCTAATAATGCCCAGGCTCAAAGCAGTGCCCAAACATCTTTATCCACTGTGCCCCACCACCACCACCAAAAAAAAAAAAAAATAGAACTTTTAGGACAAAGGCAGCTGGCATATCCAGACAGGGACAGTCAAATATGGTTAGGTACAATGGAAGGAGTGCATGAGTCTTTCTGTTCCTCATTGCCTGGATGGCCATAAACATAGCCGTTATGGAGGCCATAGGTCTCGTTTCATAATATTCCTGTTTAAAAAGGGCTTGAAAAAAATCTCCTTTAAAAATCAATGGGGTTTTTTTTTCTTCTAATAGCCTGCTGCAAAAAATATTTCCTCATGCAGGGTCAGGATACTCAATAATAACTACTGATCTCAAGGAGTCAAGTCAGTGCATGTCTCAATGTATAATTATTGCAATCAGATAATCTGACGCACCTGGAAATGGAATCCAAGGGCCCTAGATTCCCAAAAGAAGCTGTTCCCTCATATTGGTGAGAGTTCCCCCTGGCTCTCACTGAATGTTCTCTTCAAGACAGTTACAGAAATTGCTTTTTTTAATTATGCTCCAGAAATACTAATTCATCTGCAATACTAACACTTTCCAGAAACACTCCAGGTCTGCCAGCACCTACAAGCCAACTTTTGCCAACTCCTATAAACAGCACACATATTTACTTAGTTTTAAATCAAATATATTATCTAATAAGATTCATAATTTTGTTTCCACAGGTCCTTCTGCATAATAAAGTTGAAGGATTCTGTGGAGGTTCCATTGTTAATGAAAAATGGGTCGTAACTGCAGCCCACTGTATCAAACCTGGTGTTAAAATTACCATTATTGCTGGTAAGTAAATAAGGATAGTACTCTACAACATCTTCTATAAGACTAGTATATCATATTTTATGAAGGTCTAATAGGATAATTGTTAAATAACTTGGGCTAGTGGTAGAGAGGCCATGTTTTCAAAACCCAACTTGCTTCAAACTCCAACCTTTCCAGAGTTCTTTGGTGTGCTTTTATTAGCACTCACTTCAGTGGGGAACAATTATTTATTGATGTCTCCATTTCCCTACCAGACTGAGCCTTCCCAAAAGCTGTGTCATAACACTGATCTTTATATCTCTAGTGCCTGGCACAACCTGTAGTGGGCCCTCTAACATTTGAATGAATGACCAAATGAATGTATTATTTGTGAGCAAAAAGAAATCAAAATACTTGAAATTGGGGAAGTCTAGAATAAAATTCATGAGAAGTAGATTCATTATCACATGTGAACAATGTAAGACTTGTAACAGCAAGGGTGAACAGAACCATGTCTATGATGGGTCCTGAATCACTTTTTGATCTAAAAAGTATGCCCTGGCCCTCATTACATTTTATCTAAATCATACCAATATAAGATTGAGATCTTTGACACTTGGCTGCCAGTTAATTCAGTGATGCCAAGTGGGCACTTTGAAAATCTGTTTCTTTATGTGAAAGGCTATTTGTTACTGAAGAAAAATTTGTTTTGAATGGGTGAAATGCCAGTTAAGTAAGTGATGCTAGGTGGACACTTGGAAAATGTGTGTGTCTCTATGAGAAAGATAGTGACTGAAAAAGAAATCTGTTTTCAATAGGTGAGCATAACACCGAAAAGGAGGAGCCTACAGAGCAAAGGCGAAATGTGATTCGTGTTATTCCTCACCACAACTACAATGCAACTATTAATAAGTACAGCCATGACATTGCCCTTCTGGAATTGGATGAACCTTTAATGCTAAACAGCTATGTAACACCTATTTGCATTGCTGACAGGGAATACACAAACATCTTCCTCAAATTTGGGTCTGGCTATGTGAGTGGCTGGGGAAAAGTCTTCAACAGAGGGAGATCAGCTTCAATTCTTCAGTACCTTAAAGTTCCCCTTGTTGACCGAGCCACATGCCTTCGCTCCACAAAGTTCACCATCTATAATAACATGTTCTGTGCTGGCTTCCATGGGGGAGGTAAAGATGCATGCCAAGGAGATAGTGGGGGACCCCATGTTACTGAAGTGGAAGGCATCAGCTTCTTAACTGGAATTATTAGCTGGGGTGAAGAGTGTGCAGTGAAAGGAAAATATGGAATATATACCAAGGTATCCCGGTATGTCAACTGGATTAAGGAAAAAACACAGCTCACTTAAAGAAAAATGTATCTCCAAGGTTCACATATTTGGGATTAAAAATGAACAAGGTCTTTTACTAACTAATCACTTTCCCCTCTCATCAGATTTGAACATATACATTCGGTGAATATTGATTTTTCTTTTTATGGGGAGAAATCTGTCTAGAATTGATATTTTGTAGAATAAATAAATTAGAAAATCAAATCATTTGAGAAATATAGTGTGGTAATAATTTGTGACCATGAAAAAAATGTGAAGTTATTTTCTTCATCCTGATCATCAGGCATTATATTTCTCCACCAGCAACTCCCTGATTCTCCCTCCTCAGCAGCATTCCATGTTCCAGATATTTCTTACTTCTCCCACCAAAACGTCAATATGTATTATATCAGATCCAGGATATTTGGTCTAGTCCATCACAAGTCCAACATCACACTCATAAAGGAAGAACACTGGGACAACTGACAGGTTAAAACTCATCAGAAATACTACTTCTTTTTCTGTACTCTTATATCTGCATCCTTTATCTTTTACAACTTCTAATCTCTAAATCATTTTTTCTCTTTCTCTCTCTTCTTTTCCCTACACATAGAGGAGGGAAGGAAAGCATAATACTGTTTTACTGGTATGCACAATGATATATATCTATCAAACCCAGACTTGTCTTCAGTTTAGTCTTGGATTTGCTTATCTGAGCATAGGGATGAAGTAAGGTCTAAAGAACTTAGGGGGAAAGTTCCTCTCAGAGAGTCACGTTATTAAATACATATATAATGGAAGGGATGACTTATCAGAATAGTTCCCTAAGACCTTGTAATTGTATTGTTATGGAAGTCTGATTAGAAATGGTTCTATGAATTCAAACTGACATGGTATTATAGCTAAGAAAGCTAAAAAATATTAACAGAAAGAGATCAGTTTGCAGTATAGAACTAATAGAGTCAGCAAGGAAGAATTCATCAGTGTGTCTCCAGTGCTAACCAGGGCTAAAGAAGTTGCCCAGATTAGAGAACAAGAGCATCATGTACCCCTAATTAGTGTATCCCCACAGTGGAGAAGGGTAGAAAAGGCTCACAGACGTAAGTTATTCCAATGAGCCAACTAACTCCTCGTCTTCTGGTTTCATGCCCACCAAGCAACTTTTGTTTTATTATAATCAGACCTTCAATATTAAATTTTCTATAGAGTTGCTAACCAACCAGCACAAGTACTTCAATCTGTTAGACAGAATATTTCCCTTTATGAATTAATAAACTGATGTGTTTTTGGTTCAGACCTTGGCTTTTTTTAATTTGGTTGATGTGAATCGGTCACCCCAGCCAAGCCACACTATTGCTGATTTCTTACAAGTTATTCCAATTAATACTCTAGTTTTTCAAAATAAATATCAATAAATGTATTTTTAACTTCTCAAAAAGTGTTTGTTGTTGAATCATTCACAGAAAAGGATTCCAAACACTACATTCAGCAAAGCAATCAAAAGAATATGTACAAAAGCAATATAACACATCAGAGATTTGATGCTCTGTTAGCACTCAGCTTTTATATGAGGTAGTGTGGAGCCACCTGGGACAACTGAGTTGAAATAGCTGAGAATATGGTCTTGAATAATTCAATCCACCTTTTGGCTTTGATTTTTCCATTTGTATAATGAAGGTGTTTGACAGATGCCCTCCAAAGGCCCTTTTTTGGCCTTGATAATCTGATTATATTCCTTTATTTAAAAATATGCGAGGGATTACTGTGTACCACATACCAATAGTGTTCATTAAATTTGTGAGTTACATATTTTGTGAGTTAACTAAAATAATGTATGTAAAATGCTTTGTCAGTGCCTACTACATTACTATACAGTAGATGCTCAATAAATGTCAGCTGAATCTGAATCCATGTTTATTCCAGAGTAGGAATGAGTCTTGTATTGAGTGTCATGAAAAGAGGCCATACTTAATGAGTGGGATTGAGATTTCATGAAAAAATAAAATAAATCAGTTCTTCTATTGTTGGTTAAAGGAGGGAAAGAGGGAGGAGACACTAATTGCCCACCTTAGGTTTAAGGAGGATACTAATTAATGCATGCAAACTAGTTACTTCAAATTTGAATGACTAAAAGTCTATAGACCCAGTGCTCTGTAATCCATAAAAGTGAGCCACTCTGTCCTTATTGCCATGGAAACCACCCATTCCTTACAAAGGCAGCAGTGGTAGCATGGCATTACAGTTTCTGTGACTGGTCTACCCTGTGGCAAAGAGAGAGCTCCTGGGCCCCTAACTCTCTAAGCCAATTATCCATTTTTCCATGAGCTTGAAAATGACTGAATTGATCATGAGCCACCTGTAGCATGTTGCCACATTAAAAATATGGGTCCTGTAAGCCCACCAAAGAGCCAGCGGCATCAGAGCCAGGCCCTCACTACCGAGGTCCTAGGACATTTGCAGTCATATAAGAATCATCAGTACTTTCAAAATGACTGTAGCTACTTAACCTAAATGGGCTGAAGCATGCTGCTGCAGTATTGGAAGTTACAGGTTAAAATAGAACTCTTGCTGAGTGAAGAAAAGTGTGTTAATATAGTGCAGTCATTTTAACTTGCTGTTTAAATATAACTGCTTTTTATTCTTTCTGAATATTAGTTGCTTAGTGATGATAGGAACTAAGTACAGTCCAATTTTCTCTGCCAAGGGAAAAAGAATGGGTTTTCTCCCCAACTCTCTTTAACCATGACAGACCAGTTCACAAAACTGCTTCATTATAATTTTGCAACAACTTCTGAATGCAATCTAACAATGTCCGATCTATGTATGTCAGAGCTGCAAAGGCCCTTAGACACTATACAGACCACTCTGCCCATTTAACAGAGGAGGACATTGAAGCCAAGATAAGGCCAGGCTCAAAATAACAGTGGCAGAGCCAAGATTAGAACTCAGGTCTCCCACTCCATACTATGAAAGTATAGTGCTTTCAATTGGAGCACTGTCTATGTTTTTAGAGCAGCTGGGGAATTCTGCATTGGTGGTAATCCCTTCAGCGAACTTGGACTGAAAACTGCCTAGAATTCTCAATAGTGATAACTGATAAACAGGTGACCAAATCAAGAAGACCAACAGATAGCCTGAAAAGCAGAGTGGCAATCAAATAACAGACTGGAGCTATCATCTCTGACTCATAGCAGGAACTCAGTAAATACACGTGGAATGAACCTATGCTGCTGGTGTCTGGCTTTTAACCCAGCTGAGAGCACTGTCAGATGTTACATTTGACTTCTAGAGCATGTTTGTCAGTGTCATCTGGCACGCAGTCATTCAAGCAACATTTCAACTCACTTCATTGTAACTCTACTGGGTAAGACATATGCAGCACAGAGACAGCAGGCTACTCCAGAAGCTATTGCTTGAGGTTTGAAAGAAAGCTTCAAAAACCCACTGGAGCTGGGATTCTGACAATGCAGTACAGATGTGGGTGACCAGGAAACACATTTCAGCGGTTAACAGGCCTGTCTGGGCAAAGCACTCAGAATCACCGCTCCTTTTGAATCTGAAGCTTATGCCATCTCTAAATCTCATGATTAAAACTACAAAAACAATCATGTTCTGCAAACTATGGAGGCTGCCAATGAGAGTCACAGTAGGCAAAAGACTGTGGCATCCCTATCCTTTTCAACCAGTCCAGGTACATAGATCACTCTACTCATTTTCTCTAATAGTACTTTCAAGGCAGACCATTTTCGCCCTGTCTTCAGGGTTATGGCTTGCCTTGAGATTGCCAGAGTTCCTCTCAGCCTCTACTATGGATAAAGTTATCAGAAGGGAAGAACAGCAAGAAGACCCTTTCTTATACATATAAAGCGGTAACGGTTTCTGGAACAGAACCAAAGTTTCTACACACTATCACAAGACAGTAATATTTCAAACTACTGGCCAGATCAATTCACTCTGGTAGGAGAGTTACCCACTTAGTTGAGAGATGAATAAAAATAGGAACAGAGATACTCGTGATTCTAAAGACTTCGTTTTAAAAGGTTGCTTCATTGAAATGTTAAATATGAGATCCTAATCTATAAAAAGTTGCCAACATAGTAAATCTCCTGGATGCTCTCATTCTTAAACTTTTAGGAATCCTGTAGTATTTAGCTTCTCCAGATCAATAACCATGAAGTGGCTTAAGTACTGGCCTCATAAAGAAAAAGAGGTCTCATGATGTATACATTACATGCTTCAGTAAATATCTACATAAAAAATCGATTTCCCTCTTGGAATATATTACAAAAAATAAGCATGCATTTTCATATTAAAACTCAGCTCAAGAATGCAACAAGTCTCTGAGAAACTCAGTGCATGCTTGTTAATAATCCAATGTATAAATTAAAAATGCTATTACTGACCACATCAGTGCAAAACTCAGTCATCTAAGGTAGGAATGAGATAGTCATCCTGAACACATTATGGAACATGCCATCAGAGGGAAGGTAGACAAATATAGAGAAACCTCCTACATCCATTTCCTGCCGAGGATATAAAAAGAAGTTATCACTAATTTCCAGTAAATGTAAAAAATATTAGCTGATAAGGCTATAGTTATAGCCCCGGCATTTTCCTCTCCTGTTAACATTTATTGCTTTTGTGTTTGTGTTCTCCAGAGCTGTATTAACCTCTCTTGTCTATGCTTTGAATCTTCATCTTGGTAGGTATTTTGTTGTTATACTTTGTTTTTGAGTCAGCTCTTGGGTTTCATTTGGGTTTTGAAGTTTTATATCTGAATTAAACTGTTATTCTTGGCCAAAAAGGTTTAATTTCTGTCAATACACCTCCAATATTTTTCACTGTCCATACTCTCTTCTATATGCTATTTCTAGAGTTCTAGATGATCATGCTTAAGATCAGAAACTCTGCTTACTTAGTTTAGAAAAATGTCAATTTAGATAACATATGTACTAAAATGATAGCTACACATTACCTAAAGTTGGGTTATATTTCATAAATCTTAGCACACTCCAAAAAGGAATTCTACTGAACACTTACTATGGTCTTAACACTATATCTGTTTCATAAGACAGAATCAGTGGTATGCTGGAACAGGCTTTACAAACTCCTAAATGCCAATTTTGCGCATCTCTTTCCAACTCCCAGTTCAAAAACTTCATGTCAGTAGTTTCAAATCTGCCATGGTAGAGAGATTTACACCATAGATATTGACAAATGCTACAAATACATGCTATTAAAGAGACCCAGTTGTTTAACATTTACCAACATACCAATGAACACAATCTAATTATTTGACTAAAAATTCATCGTTTTTATAATCCTGCTACTCAGTTATTATGAGTGGGCACTAAATACACTATAAATTAAAATGTAAAGTTGTTTAAGGAAGCTAAATGTTCATGAGCCAAAAATATTGAAAATCAGACCTTTAAAATTGTTCTCAGATGGCAACAGGTAGTTATTTTATTCTGTAAAATAAAACATTTCCTTAAGTGCAAATATTTCTCCTGCACAACACTTTCACACATTGTTAAGTCAATGAAGGTTTATTCTGTGGTAGTTTTCTGCTGGTATGTTAGATCATAGTAATTTGTAATTTATTTATAAAGACTGCAGAAGTGTTCTTAACTGTTATTTTCAGATGGCATAAAGATTTTAAAATTTTCCACAGGCATGTCTGAAAGGTAAGTTTGGCACAGGGTTTTACTACATTTCAGTCATCGGGGACAAGGTATTACATTTTACTTTTCCAGTACTGAATTAAGGTGAGCAGAATTGTTTAGTGTAAAATGTTTCAGACATATAAAAATATACAGAGAATAATAGCATGAACTTCCAAGTACCAACACTCATCCAATCCTTTTCTTCCCCCACTCATCCTTAATTTGGTGTTAATCACTCTCCATCATACCTACATACCTTTACTATAAATTACCCATTATATTTTGTTTTACATATTTTCAAACTTTACAAATGCAATCATATTGTATCTATCCTGCAATTTGTTTCTTGTAAGATTCGCTGATATTGATATGGACAGCTCAGATCATTCATTTTAATTTCTATCTAGTATTTGATTATATGATATGCCATGATCT